GGAGAGGGGGACCCCCTGCAGTGTAGGGGTGAAGAGGGTGGAGAGAGGGACCTCCTGCAGTGAGGAGGGTGGAGAGGGGGACCTCCTGCAGTGTAGGGGTGAGCAGGGTGGAGAGGGGGACCTCCTGCAGTGTAGGGGTGAGCAGGGTGGAGAGCGGGACCTCCTGCAGTGTAGGGGTGAGGAGGGTGTAGAGGGGGACCTCCTGCAAACTCTTTCCCCCATCTTGGAGTTCTGGGGACCAAAAAGGCAAAGCCTGGGGAGGAACCTGGTCCAGCCACAGTGGGGTCTTTCCTCGCTTCCTACTTGGGGCGAGCTCAGTGCCAGTACCCGTGGGTGGGTGGGCTAGGGAGGGGTGAGGCTACAGTGGAGCTTTCTGCCCAGCTTCGCCCCCTGGCCACACTCCTACCTGGGGATGTCGCCTTGTCCCACCAGCTGTGTGTCTCGACCAATTTTCCAGCTGCTCCAAGCCCCCTCCACCAAGGAGACCCGGGGCAGCTGCAAGGCCTGAACTAGCCTGCCTGTGGGTCGCTGCAGAGGGAGCAGACAGCGCTTCAGACAGAGGACTTTAGTTAAGGTGCAGGGAGCCGCCCCTGGCCAAGGGTGTCTGGTTGGGAAGCCCCCCCCTCCACTGGCCAGCTTGCTCACCACCCCTCCTGCTCCCCACCACCTCTGGGCCTTGGCTGCTGCTCTTCTAGCCAAGGCCCACTGAAGGTCCCTCTGCCCAGGCCCCACCTGGGGTCTGCAGCCCAGCCACACAGGCCCCGACCTGTCCAGAGGAGCCAACATCTGCTGAGCAGGACAGACAGACAGAAGCTAACAGCAGACCCACACTGGCGTCTGACGGTCCACGTGGAAAGGTCAGGCTGAGCGTGGAATGTGCAATGGCAAGACAGCACACGGCACCCTGTGTGGTTGGCATTGGTGTGGGAAGGGCGAGGGGTGGAGGAAGGAGTCAGACTGGACAGGTAGACAAGGGATGGGGTCTGGGGGCCCTTGGATGGTCACCTGAGGAGTTGGCAGCTTGTGCTGGGGTGATTGGGGCCCAGGCACACAGAGGGTCCTGGGGGCAGGGGGCCGGGGACACAACCAGGATCTACCGCCCAGTGTCATCCCATTGCCACTCTGTCCTCGTCCAGCCTGGCAAGTCCTGTGTTTCCGAAAGCATCAGGTCCCATTTTGCAAGGGGGCTGGCAGGACAAGGGATGTGGCTAAGGAGTAGCACCCTCAGGGGAAACATAGGGTGGTCTGCAGAGACACAGCAGGGGGTGGGGGGAGGCTGGTGTCAGGTCTGCAGCGCTCTGCGGGCTGTGCAGCTAGTCGATGGCCTGGAAGGTGAGGAGGGGATAGGTGGAGGGGACCATCACGAAGCGGTAGATCATCTGTATGTCCTCGGAGGATACGGTCTTCACGAGGAAGTTTCTCAGCATCTAGAACAGAGGCAAGAATCTCCTTGGCCCGGCCCCCGTAGCTTCCCGGGGCTCCCCCCTCCCCCAAGACGCCCCCGGACTCAGCACTCGCTTCGGGACCTGCCCCAGGCCCGCCCCGGACCTTCCCTGAACCCCTCCTGCCTCCCCTCAGACCCCACCCTCAGGGTGGCATTTCTCACGTGGTGCAGGAGCATCTGGACCCGCACCTTGTCCGCCTCCACCCTGCGCTTCCCGCCAGGCCCCGCCCCCCGGGCCGCCCCGCCTCTCACGTGGTGCATGAGCAGCAGCACCTCCACCTCTGCCAGCCGCCGGCCCAGGCACTGGCGCATCCCGAAGCCGAAGGCCACGTGACGAAAGTTAGAGGTGGAGGCCTTGGTCAGCCAGCGCCGGGGGTCGTAGCGCTCGGGCCTGGGGAACACGGCGGGGTTGCGACCCAGGGAGTAGAGGTACAAGAAGATATTCGTCTGTGGACGGGCGTGGAGGTGGCGGTCAGCCTGGCCCTCGCAGAAGATCCGAGGGGGGGGTCTCTGTGGAGGGGATCGGGGGCTTCACTCACCCCAGCGGGAATGTGGTAGTTCTGCAGGACCAGGTCGGATTTTACCCGCCTCTGCACCGTTAAACCCACGGGGTACAGCCTGGGGGTGGGCGAACGGAGAGTCCTCAGCTGGGCCTCCGCCCCTGCTGGCCCTCCTGTCGCGGACCTGCAGATGCCCCCTCCCACAGGCTTCCCGGTGCCCAAGGGTGGGCCACCAGGAAAGCTCAGGTCAGTATCCACGCTTGCTCACACCTGCTGAGCTCAGAGGGCCCGCCCAACCATCTGCCGGCTCTGGCGTGCCCCGGAGGAACGAGAGGCGGGCGCCAGGACTTTGGGATCCCAGGGGACACACAGCCCCAAGGGTGGGGAGAGGAGGGCAGTGCGGGGGGGCTGCTGGGGCCAGGGCTGTCGTCTGCCCCATGGGGAGCGATGCCCTCCACGCCGGCCCAGGGCAGCCAGGGAGCGGCAGGCACCTACCGCAGAGTCTCCTTGAGGGCGGCCCGCAGCAGGGGCAGCTCGGACATGGCCCTGTGGGGGCTCTCCGCGATGGCGGCTGCCGCCTCCTGGCTCTCCTGGCGCAGGGCCTGCTGCACGTCAGGGTTGCGAGCCAGCTCGAAGAACATCATCAGTAAGGTGTTGGCTATCTGCGGGGGGGCGGGGGGGGTCACACCTGGCCCAGGCCGGGCCGCCCCAGCACCCCTCCCAGGAGCAACTGCTCCCGGGGGAGGCTCTCCACTGAGCCACTGATGGGGGCGTTCCTGAGACCCCATGGTCCTAACACCGCTTCTCCCCCTTTTCTGGAGTCCTTGGGGAAAAGAGGCCCCACCTGTGCTGTCTACTCCTGGGACTTTGTGGGACTGTGATCATCCCCCCGCACATCTGTAGGATCCCGGCCCAAACCTTTCTGTCCAACGTGAACTCACCAGCCCGCCCCTAGCCACTTCCAGCTCCTAGGTTATTCCAAGTGCAGCCAAGGGCATGGGTGTGCCCAGGCCCAGGTGCAGGAGCCTGAATGTCTCCCACACCCATCTCCACGCACAGCCCCTCATGTCCTCTGACCAAAGAATCGGCCAATAACTGCCTCTGCGCCACCTGTGCACTCGCCCATCTCCGTCCTGGACATGAGAGGCCTCAGGGAACAGACTTGTGACCCGATACGCCCCTCTCGGGCTCTGTGTGGTCCTTGGAATGGAGGGCTTGGTGCAGGGGGGCCTCCTGCTCTGCCCTGACTCTCTGTCCTCCCTGCCTCCCCTTCCCTGGGACCCTCCCTCCCTCTTTACCGCTTAGACCCTGAGCTGTGGTCCTGCCCCCCTTATGGCCTGGCTAATCTCTGTGTGTCTCTTCCAGCGCCAGTAAAGGTCAGCCTCCTCCAGGAAGCCTCCCGAGACCCTCCATGGCTGGGCATGCTTCATCTGGGCTCCACCCTCCCCAGGGGAAGGCTCTCTGCCAAGCAGGCCCTGGGGCGAGCTGGCAGAGGGGGCTTGGTCTGGGGCAAGAAGCTGTGTCACGTCCTCAGCTGGCCCAGACCCGTCAGTGTCCCCATCTGCACTCTCCTCCGTAGCCGGCCACGCCCTGCTCCACTCATCATCACCTCACTTCCCCAGTGGGTCCTCCTCAGAGCCACAGGTCACCTGTCCCTCCAGGAAGGGGCTCTGCGTGGCCCTAGCTGCAGCTCTGCCCCCTCAGGGCCAGGCTCTCTGAAGGGGGGGGCCTTTCCTGTTTCTTGTCTGTAATCCTGGTCCCTCTGCCCCGAGTGCTGCCCTCGCGAGTACCCACTGCCCCTGCTCCCCCAGGGCGAGTGTCCGTGTGCCCCCCTCGCCGTGGAAACCATGCAGCTCACGGCTGGGGGCACCACAGCCTTGGGCAGAGACTGGGGGTGGGCGCCGGGTGGCGCGGAGGGCACTGCCTGGGCGTTGGGGGGTGTGGCCCAGCGGGCGGCTGGGTGTTGGCCGACCGTGTCTGAACTCCCCGCGGTGAGCTCCACAGCGTTGGCCTTGATGGTATCCAGGGACAGATCTGAGTTGAAGAGCAGCTGCGCCATGACGCCGCTGTAGTGCCGCGGGCAGCCGAGCGCCATCTCCTGATAGGTGTTGTGCATGACCTTGTTGGCTGTGGGGACAGAGCCCAGGCCTGAGTTGGTGGAAAGTGCCTCTGCCTCTTGCTCTGCCCACCGCACCTCCTGCCGCCCCCGTGTGACGTGTCCCCGCCAGGCAGCGGGGTGGGGGCTGGGGCACCCTGTGGGCCAGCTCACCATACTGGAAGATGACGTCCCAGGCCTGGAAGTGCTCCTCCCAAGTGTTGGGGCTGACCCAGCGGGACAGTCTCCGTGGCATGAAGATGAGCTGCGCAGTGGATTTCATCACGGACTGCAGGGCCTGGAGGAAGTTCAGGCTGGCGGCGCTGGGGTTGGAGCTGAGCAGGCCCAGCCGCTTTCCATACAAGGCGAAGTTACTGGCTGTGGGGACACCGGTGCCCAGCCTCAGGCCAAGTGTGGCCTCCCAGCCGCTCCGGCCCCCGCCCACCTGGCCCCTGGGACACTCCCCACCTTCCATGGTGTAAAGGAAGATGCTGGACTGGACATCCAGGGTCAGGCTTCCCCGGGCATTCTGCAGCACCTTCTTCCTGAGGGCCTGGGAGAAGTCTCGGGCCACTGTGTCCACCATGGGCATGAACTTCTGGGTGTTTCTGGGCTCGAGCAGGTCTTGGTTCAGCTGAAGCCGGCTGTGGCGCCATTCAGGCCCGTTCCTGCAGGGCAGAGAACATGTACCCAGGAGCAGGGCCAGGTACACACACCGCCAGGAGGAGGGTGAGCCTCCTGCTTCTGTCCTGATCAGCCCTCTGAGCTGACCTCAGCTGCTCGATCAGGGTGGGCTAGGCCTTCAGCTGCCACCTGGAAGCACCCGAGGGTTCAGGGGAGAGCCCAGTGATGCAGGCACTGTGCCAGGCCCCAAGTCCCATCACTCTGAGTGTGGAGGGCCAGTGTCTGCGGGGAGCCTGGCCCTTCTGTCCAGCTGGCCCTACCGGCACACCCTCACCTGGTACAGGGAGAGGCTGAAGGCATCTGCTATCTCCTCACAATGAGCCCGCCCTCATAGCCCCCCGATAGTGGAAACACGGGGCCCACGGGAATCCTGAGAGGTGACGTGCATGGGACTACACTCTTTCTTCCTGTGCACGGAATCTCCTTTCTCTCAGCCAGGCTTCTGGGAATACTGATGGCGGTGATTAGAATGAACATACCCACACGCGGCCACACAGCACACACACACGTGCACACGTGCATGCACAGCACACACATTCATGCACACATGCACACATGCACACTGAAGTGTATATGCACACCCACAAACTGTCCATCTATGCACACACACGTGTGCACACACACATGCTCACAGCACACAGATGCGCAGACATGTATCCACATGTACTCGCAGACGCAGACACATTCACACATGCTTGCACACACTTCCACACACGTGCACACATACACGCCATGCACACACAGATGCACACAGACACGCATCCTTACAAGTGCACACACGTGTGCACAGCACACTTACATTTGTGCACACACACAGGTGCACGCAGATCCACATACATGGGCAGACATGTATCCGCATGCACACAGATGCACACACACGTAGTCACATTCACGTGCACAGGCATGCACAGCACACTCACCGTCATACAAACATGCACACACGGGTGCACATACACACACACACACCGACCTGTGTACATACACAATCTCCACACCGACACATGCACACACACTTGTGCACACACCCACATGCTCACAGCACATTTACGTTCACACACATGCATCCACATGTACTCCCAGTGCAGACACACACACACTTGCACACTTACACAATCATACACATTTAGGCACACATGCATGCACACACGTGCACACGTGCCTTCCCTTAGCTTTCGACTCCCACCTTTCTCCCAGCCCTGCCTTCCCAAGACCCTGACCCCCTCCAGATGCCCACCATCGAGGGCCCTGCCCAGGGTTGCCACCCCCCCCGCCCAGGGGAGTTCCCTTCCTGACAGAGCGGGGAGGCCTTGGACAATCCAGTGTCCCTGAGCGGTCCCTCCTCCGTGTCCTAATGGCAGCCTGCTTTCAGCATGACACCCCCAGCACCACCTCCACCTACTCATGACAAGGTTCGTCCCTTCAACAGGTGACCAGGTAACCCTGGGACAAGCCCCCACTGCCTACTCTGAGGACAGCGGTGCCATCAGTATTGTGCCCCCATCCTCCATGTCTCTGGACCGTCTCTGTAACACGTGAGGTTTTCCTTTAGGACCCAAGGGCCCGGGGTGGGGGGGGCTGCAGCCCAGTAGTGATCCCCAGATGCAGGCGCACGCTGACACTGTGACCGAGGACTATGACCTCCTGGCCCGGCCTCGGGTTCTGCCCTGTAGAAGGGAGAGGACCCTTCTGCTCAGAGGTGGCGTCATTGTCCTTTTTCCTGCTCCAAGGGAAGTGACCTTGCAAATCCCTCTCCCATTGCACCTTCTTGGGCTCTGGGCAGACAGCACCAGGCCGTGGACCTTGTAGGTGCACAGTGGTGACCCCTGGGCTCCTGACGAGACCTGGGTGGTGTGCTGCTTGGCCTCCCCCTCTCTGTGCCCAGGCCCCGGCCCCCCCACCCCAGATCGCCCCTCACATCAAGAACACGCCGAGTTTGTGCCCGCGATGTTGACGGTGGACCAGCCAGGGCTCCAAGGGCATCCTGAAGGGGTGCAGGCTTTCCGCCTGCTGCAGCCGCTCTGCGTCCTCGGGCAGCATCACGTTCACCACGGGTACCCCTCCCATGTCGTACCTATCAGGTGCAGAGGGGCTGGGTGAGTGCCTCCTCCCTTGGACCCCACTCTGCAGGTGTCAGTCCAGGCTCCCTCCTATCTAGCCTCCCTCCTATCTGACCTCTCCCTTTCCCAGGCTTATGACTTGGCAGCTAGGAAGTTCTTCCTGCTGTCTAACTGAAATCCCTCCAGCTTTAGTGCTCTGAATTCTGTCCCCTGAGCGGGGAAGAGCCACTGTCTCCACAGTCAAGAACACGGACCGGCAGCCCAGAGTGCCGCTCCCCACCCCCCGCTACTTCCTAAGGATGCAGAGTGCTGGGCCGACCCTGGGTGTTCTCATGGGGCCGCTCTACCTGAAGATGGACCCCAGCTCCTGGAAGTACTTCTGCATCTCCAGGTGCAGGCTCCCCTGGCTCTGCTCCTTCCAGATGCGCAGCATCCTCACCCACTTGTTGTCGGGGCACTGGGGGATGGCTTCGAAGGGCAGCACCGGCTGGCGGGCCGACGAGGCCCTGGTGCCCAGTGGCCGGGCCCTGTGCAGGGCCAGCCGGGGACCTGGGGTCCACACACCTGCCTGCACCCTCAGCGCCATCCCCACGCTCTCTCCACCCTGTCCCAGCAAAAACCCTTTTATCTCCCTGGAAGGCCATGTCTGACTGTCGTTGCTGGCTGCTGGCGTCATGGGAAAAATTGTCCCTGGACCAGGCCAAGGGCCTGAGGCCAGGCTTAGCGCTGCAGCCCCACAGCGGAAGGGGGAGGAAATGACTGGTCTCATCTTCACAAGGGACGTGTGTGGGGAGGGGCTGCTGAGGGCAGTGCAGTGGCCCCAGGCGGGCGGTGCTCTCTAGCAGGCCGGGAGGCCCTTATCTTATCAGGGGAGAGTGAGGGCCTTGCCTTTCCTCATCCCCATTCTCCAAGGACAGAGCTGGGGGCAGGCGGGGGGCATTAACCTAATATTCTCCGTGCTTTCTGTCAGCCCCCCACCCCACCCCAGGCCCTGCACTGGGTGCGGGCAGTGGAGACGGGGTCAGAGGGTTCCTTCCTGGGGGAGCTGCCATCCGGGGGGACCGTTCAGGGCGTCTAGGGCCCCACCATGGGGCTGACATGGCTGGGCCAGTCTGGCCGCCTGTGAGTCCGGCTCAGCACCTCAGTAGCCAGGAGATGGGCTGCAGGGAAGGAGGGAGCAGCTGCTGGCTCAGCCCTTCCCGTGGGGCTGTGCTAAGTGCTCGACACCCTTGATCTTGCTAAAGCTGCCCGTGGGGTTCAGATTTATGGCTCAGAACCACAAGGAGGGCAGCGTCTGGGGGCAGCTCCACACTATCCATGAGCACTCTCTGGCAAGCACCCAGCCGGGCACCGACCCCTGCACCCTGGGCCTTGTCCCCAGGGCCTCCCGGCAGCCCTGCAGCCTTCCCAGCGGGTGGTCTTGCTGTCAGCCTCCCGCTTTTAGATCAGGAAACTGGGGCGCGAGTGGTACATCCCCCGCCCCAGGTCTCTTCACCATTGCGCACCCCAGGGTCTGTTCCCAGCACCCCCGATCCTGCGTCCAGGACCCTGACCCATGGTGCCCCAGGGGCCCACACCCTCCTGTGGCTCCAGCACCTTCCGAGCAATGCCTGCAGCTTTGCTTGTTTTTAAAGCTTTTCTTTTTTTAATGGGCTTTATTCTTTAGAGCAGCGTGAGCTTTGCAGAAACGGCAGGGAGAGTACAGAGGGTTTCCTACACCCTGTCTCTGCCTCACACCCACTGTTTCCTCGCTGATTAACAGTTGCGTGAACATGTTGCGGTGGGGTGGTACATCGTCACAATGGGTGAACCAACATTGCTACATGTAACTACATCCCCTGGCTCACTTGACACCTCCCTGTGTGTTGCACGGTCCTGTGGGTTTTCACAAATGCAAACTGTCGTGTGTCTGCCGTGTCAGCTCCTTGCAGTAGAGTTTCCCTGACCTAAAAATGCCATGTGCTCTGCCAGGTCATCCCCCGTTTTCTTGAGCTGTGACCTTTTCTTATCTTCAAAGCCCTGTTTGAAGTTTCATTCTGCTGGGCGCCTGTCTTTGCTGTTCTCACTACAAATCCAGCACTTGCAGTAGCATCTGAAGCCCCGGTGGACCAAACTAATGTCCTGAGGGGCCTGCCCGGGAGCCTGAGAGGGGACACTCAACCCTCCGCCCTGGCCTGGGCCCTGCGCCTCCCTGCCTGCCCGGGCCTGGCCGCCCTGCTGCTCCAGTCACAGCCCTCCTGGCTGTCTCCTGGAGGCAGCCAGCCTCACCTGGCACTGCCTCTCCTGCTTCCCGTCAGCAGGTCATTTCCGCACATCAGCTTTTGAGGCAGGCATGATGCTGGAGAGGATGACAAGGTGCCTGCCTGCCCTTTGGGATGGAGCCACTGGAACTCCACCCACGATACATCCAGGCTAGGGCAAGGGGACTGGAATATCTCTGTGTTAGTGTGGGCCTGGGTCTGCCAAGAGGAAGGGGCACTCCTTCCAACTGTCCCTGCTCACCCAGCTCGGTGTCTTGGGGGCTGCGTGGCCCAGGACTGGATCTTCCCCAATGCCCCAACACAGCCCTGCCCGCCGGACTTAGAGACTGTGTGTGAGCCCATCGCCCCCGTAGTTACTGCGTTAACACTGCAGTGGGTACACAAGGGGGCAGGGCGTTCGTTGGCAGAGTTCTTGCCTTCCCTGCAGGAGACCTGGGTTCGAGTCCCAGCTAATGCTCTTCATGTGCAGCCACCACCCGTCTGTCAGGGGAGGCTTGCATGTTGCTGTGATGCTGAGCAGCTCTCAGTGGCACTTCCGGGAAGAAAGGCCTGGTGATCTGCTTCTGAAAACCAGCCAACGAACCTGTGAATCACAACGGCCCCTTACGCAACTAATTCCAGACTGGCGCAGGACTGGGCAGCATTCGTTCCTTGTGCGTGAGGTCCCCATGAATCGGGGGGTGACTTGACTGGCACCAGCCACAACAGGTAAGCGCAGGAAGCAAGGAGGGAGATGGGCAATTTGCTGGGGAGGCGAGTCCCAGCCACACCCGAAAGGGGGGAAGGAACCAGCAGCAAGCTGGGGCCCTGTGGGTGGAGGGGGCTCTAGTCAGAGGATACGGGAGGGCAGGAGGGACCCTGCCCAGACACACAGCAAGGAGGGCGGGGTGTGGAGGAGTGGGATGCTGTCAGACGAGAGGATTGTGGGGAGTTTCAGCAGGGCAGAACCAAGATCTGATTTTTTTTTTAATAAAGAAAATCCTCCCTCCCTTCCTTGGGGAGCCTTCAGCAGGGGTGGTGAGTCAGAAGCTCCGAGGTGCTTTGAGCAAGACCGCCACAGAGGAAGGATGACGCTTTTGTGTGCCCAGCTACGGATAGCGTAAGAGCTGGCCTTGACCAGCCAGATGTGGCTGCATTTAGAACCTGTCCTTGCAGTGGAGGGGCAATGGGCCTGGCCATGCTGGACCACCTCCTGCTCCCAATCTGTGTGCCCACCTCTCCACTCAGGAACCTTCTGGGTGCTTCTACAAGCTCAGAGGACAGCCCAGAGGAGCAAATGGGATTCTATGTGGATCACGTAGGGCTTCTAGAATTGTCTCCCTGGCTGGACCACCGCATGCCCTCCCAGGGGTGACATGAGGTACCACTAAAGAGCTTCGTGAAGAACAAGCATCTGCATTTCACCCTGACCATGACCCGCCCTCGCCTGCAGATGCCAGTTGCTGCCCAGCACCCCGTGCCCCTCCTCAAGGGTCTTCGATGCCCTGGGGGCCACAGGAGAGGCTCCAGGAGCCAGGACACTTTCCCTCCCCTGTGCCTAGGCTCTGTGTCCTGTCCCGGGACAGGGGACACCTCTACCCGGGATCACCTCTACTCCTGGACTTTGGGTTCCAGTCACCATGTTTCCATTCCACCTGGTGTCCCCCCCCCCCACACACACACACTTTAAAAAGGCAAAGCCCTCTGCTGTGTGGGAGCCCTACGGTCCGTC